TGCACAGAAAATCCACGCTGAAAGCATTGCCCGAGGTGGGTTGCACATGAAAAAAGTCCAGGCCACTTTTCCGGTGCCCAGGGTGCCCTGACGGGCGTGGACACACTGTATCGGACTGCAAATACGGTTATCTACATTCAGAAGTTCTAACATTGGGCACACTTTTTGAGGCTGGAATCAGGCGGCGGCACAGCCTTTGTGAGGCTGGGCAAGCTTGGTTTCAGTTTCGGATTTCTGATTCCACTCCAGCTTCTTGGGAGTGGGAGCAGGGAATGAGGTAGGGACTCGGGAGGGCTGAGGGGTGGCACTGTGGTAGGGAACGATGAAAGCGACCTTGGAATAGCGTTGGGCGGAATTGGGGCATGGCTGGGCGTGGGTGGGTTACAGGTGGGCATGGGTGGGCCTCAGCGGGCCACAGGTGGTTGTTGTGTGGCTCCTGGCTGGGTCGGATGCTGATGAGCACTTTTTCGTATTCCCAGCGGGGTCAGGTGCTGGTGGGAAAATTTCAAAAAAACAGTTCTGGGTTGGATAAAATTCGAAAATCGCTTGAAGGCCAGATCCAGTTTGGATCTGGTTACAGATTTTTTTGAAAAGTTCATAAAAAATGAAGTTTTGGGAGCTGTGATTTAGGGCCTACATTCACAGGACTTCACTGGACACACTTGACCATTATTGTGACCCGATACATCCAAAAATCTAGAAAAGTCCTAGTGTGATTATGGCCCCCTCAATAGCCTGCAGTGACAGCTGGATCTGCCAGCCSGAATGCCAACACATGGAATTGCAGACAAATTTAGGGCACCTTTATATTCACAGGATTTCGTTGGTCGTACTTTACTGTCATTGTGACTCGATACATCAAAGTTCAGAAAAGTCCTAGTGTGACCATGTCCCCCTCAATCGTTCCCAGAAAGCACAAAAGTTGAAAAAACTGACTTGCAATAACCCATGTTGTATGCCTCGTGGAAAAACTGACGGCCTGGCCAGGCCACACCCAGGCCCAGGCAAAAGGGGGAAAAGACCCCAGTGCAAGGAAAATGAGCGATAGCGAATTCCAGAAACCAAGCAGCATCATACACATGAAACCAGATAGTCGTGACCTCGAACCAAAAGCAGAATTGCAACTCGAGTTCCACCAAATAAGAGCACAGCAAAAGCTCACAAGTGACAATGTTGGAATAGTCTCATCATCATCAACAAAGAACCAATGTCGATTTCCTATCTGGCGCTCGGCGCTCAGACTAATAATGGCAGATCCTATCGAGCATATCTACAATGCCGAAAAATAGGCCTCCCATCCTTGGTCGGGCCTGCCTTCACTTAGGACGGCCGACGTTGCTGATAACAGGGGCCAATAGGGCTCATCGAGGCCCTGAGCCTGGCATCCCTCCTCCATACTTCGACAGTCCTCCGAGAAGATCAATTATTCAATCTGGCGCTTCCTTTCTGCAGTGACTTCTCATAGTGAGCGACAGCTTGTGGAGCGGTCTGCATCAGTTCCTCCCGAGTAAACCATCTGTCCTCCTTAGGATCAGTGTGATGTCTGAACCGAACGCGGTATTGCAGCTTCGGTTTAGGAGGACCTCCCCTGCCTGTTGGTCTTGGAACTGGCATTTCTCTGTGGTCCACAATGTTGTCGATGTCAACCTCTCCGTCGATGGTTGGGGGCAGCGTTGAGCGACGAGAGGGGAACTGATCAGTTTCTCGGAAAGGTGCGAGCTTGGAGGCGTGAAAGACAGAGTGAGTGCGAAGGCGACCTGGGATCCGAATTACATATGACGGCCCCTCCGGATCATTCCCGACAATATCGAGAACCTCCCATGGTCCAAAGTACCGTGGGATGAGCTTGCGGGATATCCCGTGCTCCTGTCCCAGTTCTAAGGACTTGAGCCAGACTCTGTCCCCTACCTGAAATGTAGATGGGCGGCGGTGTTTGTTCTCAGACTCTATCATCGCCGCCTGTGCCCTGTGCATCTGTTCTACAGCTTGCTGCATCAGGCGCTCATATCGATAAGCGAATTCTAAGGTGTCTGGTGCAGCAGAAGGCTGATTCTCGGGTAGTAGAAAATCTAAGGGCAGTCTAGGTTTGAAAGTCAGTAGCAAACTGTTGGGGCTCACCCCTGTTGCACTGTGCATGGCGTTGTTATACAGACTGGCGATGAGAGCAACTTTCTCATCCCAATCCACCTGATTGGGCTTGATGTAATGCCTCAGCAGGTGTTGAACAGCGCGGTTCACCTGCTCTGCTCTGCAGATGTGTCCCCTGTTCTGCAGCTGCGGCCTTCCACAATTCACTGGTAAATCGCACATCCCGGTCACTAATTATAGACTTTGGGAAACCGAAGTCCTTGACCCAGTTTTCTTTGAACAACTTAATTACGTACTCGGTCTTGGCTGTTGCAGGCATTGCGACTAACCTAGCAAACTTGCGAAACCTATCCACAATGACATAGACATATCGCATTCCACTCTTGCTGGTGACCAGCGTGTCCATGAAGTCCATGGACAGGCTCTCACCTGGCCTTTCCGGTATCAGAAGGGGCTTGAGAATCCCAAGAGGGGCCTGTGTACGGGGCTTGTCTCTCTGACATACCTGACATGTCTCCACGTACAGCTTGGCATCTCTCATCATTGTGGGCCACCAGAATCGCTGCAGCAGATTAGCTGCAGTTTTCGTACACCCGAAATGTTCGGTGGCATCGTGAAATTCTCCTAGAAAGAAACTACGCAAAGACTCTCTATTGGGTACACACAGACGTTTATTCCCGGCCTTCTCAAGGAAAAGCAGGCCATTGACCAACTCAAACTCGTCAGAAGTCACTTTATCCTTCGCCTTGAGTCTGCGTATGATCTCTGACATGAACGGATCCTCGCAATAGGCTTCCACTAAGGATTGAGTAACATTGTCCGCAAGCCCAAACTCAGTGATCAACGCACCCAGGAGGTCTGGCCTACGCGACAGCGCATCAGCAACCTTATTGTACTCCCCCTTGATGTACCAGGGCTCGAAGTCATATTGCTCTATGACTTCAATCCATCGCTTCATAGCCTCGGAGAGTGCCGATTGAGTCTTCATCCACCTCACGTAGAAGAAGCGACCAAGGAGGTAATGCCTCCAGTCAGTCAACGCTTTGAAGATCGCGTAGAGTTCCTTCTCATAGGTGGACTTGGCCAACTTCTGAGAGGGCATCTTTTTGGACATGTACTCTACCGGCCTTAACCTTTTCCCCTCCTGCTGCGCAAGCACGGCACCAATGCGATATTGGCTGGCATCCGTGGTTACAACGAAGTGCTTGTCAGGATCGGGCAGTTTCAAAACCTCATGGTGAGTGAGGGCATGCTTCAAATGTCTAAAAGAAGCCTCACACCTGTCTGTCCACTCCCATGGGGTGTCAAGGCGGGTTAGGTTCGTCAAAGGTGCGGCCACTATGCTATAATTCTTCACAAAGTTGCGGTAGTAGCCGGTCATCCCTAAGAAGGACCTCATCTTAGTCATAGACAGAGGACGCGACCAGTCACGAATGTTAGCCACCTTCACGTCATCGGGCTTCAGTCCCTCCACGAAAATCTCATGACCCAGATACAACATCCGGGTGCGGCCAAACTCGAATTTCTCCCTGTTGATCTTGAACTGGTGCTGTCGAAGAAGTCTAAGGACTTTGTCTAAGTGGCCAACGTGCTCTTCGACAGTTCTACTAAAGATAAGTATGTCATCGAGGTACACGATGACAAACTTGTCCAAGTAGTCATGAAAGATCCGGTTCATGGCGTGCTAACAGGTGCCAGGAGTATTGCAAAGGCCGAAAGGCATCACCACAAACTCGTACAGACCGTACCTGGTCTAAAAAACGGTTTTGTGTTGATCCTCGGACCGTATTGCAATMTGATGGTACCCGGACTTCAAATCTATCTTACTAAAGTACTGACACCTTGCACTCGGTCCAACAAGTCATTGATGCGCGGTAGGGGCTCTGCGTTCTTCACAGTGATGGCATTGAGGCCCCTATAGTCAATGCACATCCTCAAGGTTCCACCCTTTTTCAGTACGAATAGGACAACAGATCCGTAAGGGGAAACACTAGGTCGGATCCAACCCTTCTCTATGAGTTCCTTGAGTTGCCGGTGAAGCTCATTGAGCTCAACTGGAGACATCCAATAGATCCTACCCTTCGAAATACTAGATCCTGGGATAATCTCTATCGCGTGGACGACCTCCCTCTCAACAACCCCTTTCGACTCATCAAATAGATCAGGGTATTTAGCGACCACTCCCTCTATCTCTGGAGGCATTTTCACCGGCTCGCCCTTTGCAGAGACATAAACTAAGTACATACCCTCCTCCGGATTTTGCTTATAATAATTATAGAACATGGTCGCACACATGCATCCGTAGGACTCGATCAAACTACTAGCTTTGAACTTACATAATTTGGCGGTCCCTCCTCCGGGCAAAGTGTGTTTGACCACTTTTCGGTCTCAGTCAAACTGGGCTGTGCAACCAAAAGATAGTACATACCCAACAGGATATCCATCGGGAGATCGTCGCTGACTAGGAACGAGACTCAATGTCTCAGTTCCCCTCCCGCGTACGGGAAAAAACACTCAATGTCTTTAAGGTAGTCAGTGACTACCATGCGCTATTTGTTGGCACAGRTCGACTCCACAGGTCGACTCAGGCACCGCACTTCGCCCTGTTAGCGCAGCCTCTCAACGCACGCGTGACTAATAAAGTTCCACGTCGAGCAAGTGTCATAATAGGCTCCAACCTTGCGGCCGCCGATAACTACCTCGCCAACAAACAACTCACCCTTAGGGGCTTTGGCCATGGTCGTCCAAGAAGCTAGCAGGTCTGATCTAGACCACTCCTCCTCTAGCTCCTCCAAGGATTCAAACACATTCATCGAACATAGGATCGATGGGTCTGAAGGTGTTTGTGGGACGACAACGGATTTAGTAGCTTGGGCCATCTCTCGAGATGGTGAGGGTGTGTCCACCACCTCGACCCTAGTAGGAACAACTACCATTCCTATTGGTCTGACGTGTTTCCCGAAGCAGTGCCAGAACTGCTGGCAACCTTGCTACCCTGGGAAGCGGAGGATCCCGTCGCCTGCCCCATTGTAGGCGAGATCTTTTCTGTCACCTTCTTGTTTCAACACTTGAACTGGTTATGGCCATATTGGCCACAACGAATACAAGCTTGCCGGGTGTACCGGCCTCTCCACACGTCCTCTGTGAGACCCGCTCTCCCATGGAGGAGCGTTGGGGTCTACCAGACTCCTAGACCGGGAGCCTCCACGATGTCTATCGGTCGCCTTACCTTTCTGGACCGAGGCAGCGACTGCTCCMCCCCCTGAGGCCTCTACGCTGCCCGCCTCTGAACCTACTCCATCCTAGATGTCGTCATCTAATTCGATGGTCGAACCATCGTTATGGATAAACATAATGCGACCCTTCGCCTTCCAGTTGGGAGGCAGTGTCTTCTTCCTACCATCCGTCGTGGGTTGGTGCCCATGCCCTACTTTGCCTCTAGGTCTAGGACCTTCTTGCTGAAGGAAGGGAAGTTGTATATGGTGATCTGGGCCTCACCTGCCAACTGATTCCTGACTGGCATGGGAAGACATCTCAGGTAGGTGGTAAGCAAGACCTGGGGGTCATAGCGCACTTCAGGCACATAGATCAGACACTCCACTGCGTTTGTGGCATCCCTCACTGACTTGAACGTTCTACAGCTCGAGGTCAGGATCGTATCAGTGGCCTTTTGGGCCTCCTGAGGATCATGCCACCTTTCTTCCACCAGCTTGAGGAAGTCATCTAGTTTCTGGTTGACTGCCCAAGCGCGGAAGTCATGACCATATCCCTGTAGTTGTACTGACCCGCTTAACCATCTTGCTACACTCCCCTCCAAGTAGGAGGCAGCCATAAGCACTTCCTCGTGCGGCAAGGTCAACTTGCACTTTACGTAGACTGGCACTGGCCTCAACCATGTGTCAAGGTTTTCGCCCCTCTTATTTCCTGAGAAGGGTTTAAGCGAGGCGATTGTAGTCTTCGGAACCCACTGCCCTTGTCCCGGTACCTGCACCACTCCAGGCTGTGGACCCTAGGGTGCGGGCTAATGCACTAGCTGTTGTAGGGGTTGTGTGCCTTGCAGCTGTGTGCCCTGCGGTTGTGTCGGCTGCGAGACAACAGGCTGCCCAGTTATGGCAATCTGCAACGGAGGTTAGGATAACACTGTCTGGACCGGAACCTATACACTAGTACCTGCTGGAAACCCGCTTGTCAAAGGCATTCCAAGTAGGGAATCGGCTTGTACCGATGCTGGAGAGTCTAGGAATGGGGATACTCCAGTCACCGGTGGAAGAAAAGGAGGAGGTTGTACCACGGGCCAAGCACCGGGCCCTGATGGTGATGGTGTTATCTGGACTCGCCCGACCAGCACGGCGAGGCTCTGCTGGATGTCCTGCAAGAGTGTCGTGTGATAGTCCTGCATCTCTACTACATCTAACAGGGATGTTCTCACTACTTTTACATCATCATCCATATGAGTCAAGTCCATCTCCTCTAACTCTCTAAGGTCCACTTGTCTCCGCTGCATCCTTGTCCTACGTCTGAGCATCCTCTCCTTCTCTGCCTGTATCTCTCCTAACGCCTTCTGTAGTCGTGCCTCCTGAGCGCTTGCTCTCTGTATGGTGACCTCCTCGGGAGTCAAAACTAACTGCTGGCTTGCCATGACACCAGCGGGCTGACTCAGGGTTTGTGCAATCGTCGCCCCTAYAGTCCCTGAACTACTGGCCTGGGAGCTTTGCTGCGCAGCTGTGGCCATGGCTGCTGAAGTAGCGGCTTCGCWTGCGAACACCCTGCTTGCCTCTACGGCCCTAGCTCTCCGCTGCTGCTGCTGTCTCTCCCTAAGCTGGCGAAACAAAATTATGTCGCCCTCGGGTCCTAATGACACATGGGCGAACGGGCGTCTTGCCGATCGCAAGATCCTATCGTCCCGGTTCGTCCGGGTCAGGATCCTCCGTGTCGCTCATAAGCTATAAAACTGCACACAATCTGCACTAGGTCACACTCGATGCCTACCGCAGCGTAGTGCACAGACCGATTTAAAATAAATAAAATAATTAATCGGTGGCTATGTCAGAGTCTACACATTTGGGTCCAACAGGTAAGTCCAGATTCCTACAAACGAAACTATTTTTACTTGACTAGTCCGCAAACAGAAAGCAGATGAGGAGAAATTGTTCTACCTATGCTGTCTGCCAGATGTCAATGGCTGTACATCTAACTAATCAAAATAAAAATAGAATCATTTGTGGGGCTGTTGGCAGAATGAAAATTTTCCCGAACTTATCACCTGAAATCTACCCCTCCCTCAATTCTTCCTGATTGTCGCTTGACGTCGGCGTTCCTGAGCAATCCAGATAGCGTGCGTGTCTAAAAGTGTGCACACGGCCCACCCCTGTGCCCCGAGTCAATGCCGAGCTGGCAAGCCCTGCACCATGTTTACCCTCGCGTGCAGCGAGCCTTACACTGACCGATTGGCTGATCAAGAGGCGTTTCAGGACGACCCCCGAAGTCCTCACGAATTATTTAATGTCGCAGACAGTACGACGATCACAGCCAATGGAAGGTAACCCCGCCGGTACTTATTTATAGACGTCCGGTATTCGTCTCCCCTGTAGGGCTGGCCTGCCCCTCATAATTCATCTAATAGCGCAGCAGGCAGACAAAGGACAAAGCAGCAAAGCATGCGTGCTCTACTCCCAGTGGGTTGGCATGGTGACCGTGACCCAGTGCTTCGTCCAGGGCCCTTCAGATAGCTCTGTCCTCTCCTTCCAGATGCTCCACGTGAACAATGCCGACTCTCAAGGTTGAGCGCACTCGACTCCTCAAATGAGAGGACTCTCAAGACAGAACACACATCCTCACGGTAAGAAGTGTCGAAGAGGGTAGATAAGGTTAAGAGCAACGTACCTCAAAATAGCTTTCTCCAACCACAGATATTCTCACCAGATGACCTGATGTCGATTGTGATGACCAATCGCTGCTTCGGCACAACCAGCATTACACCGCCGTTCCAGCTCATCATCAATCGCACATCAGATAGTTCTCATCACACTGCGAACACCCAGTTTCACCTCACAGCCTTCCTGGCGATACCCCTCTACACCTGGGTTGCCTGCTTGCCTTCGCCCTCCTCACTACACACTCCCTGCGGCCGCTCACCCAGCAGACTGCATGTATGTACCGCATAGGCGGAAGACAAGCGCCAGATTAGCGCAACGTACCACAAGTCCGATACCAAAATGCAAGGAAAATGAGTGATAGCGAATTCCAAAAACCAAGCAGCATCATACACATGAAACCAGATAGTCGTGACCTCGAACCAAAAGCAGAATTGCAACTCGAGTTCCACCAAATAAGAGCACAGCAACTCGAGTTCCACCAAATAAGAGCACAGCAAGAGCTCACAAGTGACAATGTTGGAATAGTCTCATCATCATCAACAAAGAACCAATGTCGGTTTCCTATCTAGCACTCGGCACCCAGACTACGAATGGCAGATCCTATCTAGCCTATCTACAATGCCGCTGATGATGTCAACAGCTCCCCGAAGTACGAGCAGATCTCGGCCAATGCCATTCGCCTCAAGCACCAGGTATGTCTCTCGCATCACTCACAACCTCGATCCCCCACACACAAATGCCACGTGCACTCAAGGACCACTATGTGCCCCATCCAGCATAGCACAGGGCAGCTCGGCTATGGCTGTCTGCTCTTCTTGCTTGCCCGTGAGCGCGTGGGCGCTGGCCAGCGATTAGTGCAGCAGCGCTTGCGCAGCATGCAGCCAGTGCTCGAATGCCAAATGCGGAGGCAGGCACTTTCCTAAATGGAAGT